TTTGTCATTTCTCTTTCTTTTACCCCCAAAAGCAATTACATTACCAATACCAGCTGAGAGTCAGAAGAAGAAAATAATCTTTCATCATTAAGACAATTATTGACTTAAAAAGAGTATGAAGAAATTTTGTCAAGTGTTGTAATGAAGTTTCAACAGGGTATAGATTATAATTTTACTGTTCTTACTTGATATGATTGAACGTGATTTTTAGTGGATACATGATATGATTAATTGGTAGACAATAACTAATCAAACAATAAGGACAAAAATGGGTTTTGAAATTAACACAAGAGGAAAATAAAATATCTTAGGGCTAGGCAATATTTCTTGAATTCAGTTTTCCTATAACCATGGAGGATATTTTATCTACCTCTAGGCATGGATCATCTTCAATTTAGGTGCATGGCAGGCTTTGCATGACTTCCACTTGCATATGCACAAAAAGTAAAGAGAATTCTAATTAATTTTGGCTACCTGTTTTTCAAATTCTGGTGATTTCTTTTTTGCATAGAAAGGGAGATGATCATGTGAAGGGATGTCTTGAATTAAATTTGGAAGTTATGTACATGAAACTAGTAAATGGATCATTACCAGAATTCAAAAGTAGAACACTATTTTTTATGTGGACAAAATTAAATGGCCACCTCTATAAAGCCAACGGGTGTTTTTTATTTTTTGTTATTTAAGAAATAATATGTACGAATAGAATTTGCAATTAAATTAAATAATTTTAAAAATATATGATATATTATTATATGGTATTGAACAAGTCAATTGAATATATAAATTAATAAATGAACATAAAATTATCTTATCGGACTGAATTCATATACCTATTCATAAAAAAAAACATAAAAATTAATTATATATCACGAAGACGAGATATTATATTATATTATATGTTTATCTTAAACAATCAGAAATAATGGGCCAACCTAGGGTACACAAAATAAGATATAGGGCATTCGCATTCCTAAACTTAGAAACTTTAACCGCATAATAATGGAATCAATAGAGCTGAGGTGTGTGGGTTCGATTTCTCTACAGTTGTAACATAATCTTTGTGAGGTAATGCAGCTATCTGGGAAAGGTTGATTGCCAGAAACAGAGAGAGAAAAGAAACAGTTATTGATGACCCATTTTCAAAAGTGAGAGAAATTGTTACTATCATTAGAAAGCTATTGGAGGAAACCCACCTTTCCATCATTACATTGCTTTCATTAGCTGAGCAATGGTGCTCGGTTGCTCATCAGATCCTATTATTTCTAAACCAAAGCAAAATTCAGCATTTGTAAGTGGAACTACATATTAACCTTTAAATTTTGAATTCCACCCCACCATGAAAACTTATTATTTCTCTAACACACCTTTCTTTTACCATAAAAATTATTCTCTTTGATCTTTCAGATATTAAAACATTTGATAATTTGACTGTCTGCTTACTTATAAAACATAAAATTAAATCGATAAATATTTTATTTTTATCGTAATCAGACAATCAGAACTCCAACCAGAGTAGAACTCCAACCAGAGTATTAAAATGTTATACAAAATATGATTACGTGATGAGAGGATAGTAAAATTTTCCTTCAAACTAGGGAAACATATGCAGCAATGATGAGGAGACCTAAAATTATATAAAGAAGATGCTGATCTGAGCAGATATGGTGTCGTGCTGGAATGCAATTAGTGTTGCATAATTACACTCACATTAGCTCCGAAAGATGTATTCTTATACCCTTCTAAATCTAATATTATTCTTGTGCACAAATAATGACTCTAAAGTAAAATTGTTAGAACGTAAAAAAAGGGTGCCTTTTTATTTCTCAAACTCCATTATTAGTCTCTCTCTCTCTCTCTTTCTCACTTTGCTTCTCCCCCCTTAGATACCCCGTGCACTAGAATATAAAACAACATATATATATATATATATATATATAAATAAAAGAAATGAGGGATAGTGGAATATTTAACAAGAGCAACCACCACCACCAATAATCTATGCATGCATTTAGAGTAAAAGCTGGAGATTGATTCCCTTTCTCAACGCCATTGTTTTGCACCAAATTATTGGTAAATAAAATAAAAGCATGAGCTAGCTTTTGAGGCATTGATAAAGATGTAGTGTGGTATGCAATTCTTCAAAGTTTAACTATTTTATAATATGGTTAAATCCTAAAGAAGCTACTATCAATCATTATGTAGGCAGGCCATCTCTCATTCTTTAAAGAAATTTAGTGCGCCAATAAAAAAAGGAAAAAAGGTGAAAAATTTGTATTAATAGCTAGATTTCACGAGCATTAAATTATGTGGATAAGGTTAATTAAGAAAGTTAATCTCTCCTTTTATGTAATACTAATAAATAATTAATAATCAATGGATCAAATTACCTAGTAAATATTCATGATGACGGAATATAGGTTGTTGGGTAATCGGAGTCCATGTACCTTCATGCACGAAGGGTGAAGGAAATGTAGAATTATGCTTCTCTACTTGTATGAACGCAGTTACAGATGAACAAAATGTTAATTACATTAATTGATTTTTATTTTTTTCTAGAAACGTGTGAAGCTGGAATATCTAATTCCATTCAACCAAGGGTGTGTTTACACTTATTCTCCGTCAGGATGATAATTAAATTAATTGAAAAGGGATCAAAACAACTTACTGAATAGAAGACTAGGTAGATCAGTATATGTTCCAAACTGAATTTCTTTCTTAGTTCGTGTAAGAAACTCTGTCTATGTCTTGACTAGTGTGTGAATCTATATATATCCTTTGGAGAATTGGTCGCTTGTATGAATCAATAATTCATAAATGCATACAGAGCTGGCTCCTGTCCGATAGTAAAGAGATAAATGCATTAGATTTGATCACTGAATACGCCCACCTTACTGGCATGAATGGTATTGATTGAATTGAAGGTGTAACCCAATTTAAATTCAAGTCAACCAAAACCAAAAGTTTGATCACTGCATCCTTTGGCTCCTACACTTGTCTCCTCATTTATGCGTACCCTCTTTCAACTAAAGGTTTTGGGACCATCCTTTTTTTCATATATATATATATATATGTATAAATAGAGACTTTATAAAATATTATTATTTTTTTTCAAAAATACATGCATGTACACCATTATTTAATGTATTTGAAAATTTGGACAAAATCATAACTAATGATTACATTGGAACTAAAAAACATTTTCAAATTAAAAATATCTCAAAAATCCTTCTCTTTTCTTTTCTTTTTTTTTTTTTTGGAATAAGAATTTGAATTATATAATGAGAAATAATATGTATTTTCATATCTCAAAAATCATACTAAACTTTTAAGAAAAAATATTAATATTTTAATGGTTGAAAGTAGAATCATTCAGATCGTACTCAGACAACGGATCCCACAGGGTACCAAAGGGTAGATGGTGTTATATTTAGTGGTTGGAGGGAAATGCATGGGAGAAGTGTGTTGATGCAGATGAAGTCAGAACATGGAGTTCATCACCAACCCAACAAGCAAGCGCGGCGGTGAGACTGTGTGGGGGGGCCATTTTATGATTGCTTTTCCATAAAGATTCCAATTGTAAATGAACTGTCACATTAGACACGCGTGATTCCCATGCTTTTGAATATGAAATGGCAACAGTAGCTACAATAGAAACATCATCATCATCATTATTATGCCCTTGTTTTTAGGGGAAGGACACATACCATATTCTTGGAATTGGAGTTTCTTCACCAACACACTCCACTCTTTGTAGCTAGGGTATCCATATCTCGATCCAAATGTTACTCCCTACTGTTGGTTTGCCGAGTTATTATTGTCAAAAAACATGGGACCTTCAGTCTCCACAGTATACAGGTTCCTATATATTCAATGGCTTTTAAAAAGAGGAAATAACGTGTTGCTTGCTGTTGGCTTAGTCGTGGAACCTAGGTCTTAACAAGGCCCCCCACTTTTACGTCTGGACCTGAATCATTAGGTCAAAAGGACAGTTCAATATAGACATTGAGGTTTGAGAGGCATGAACATGATTTTCACAGAGTAAATTTACATGAACTGGCTGTGTGTTCCTATCAATACAGTAACAAGTTTGATAAAGATAAAGACCCTTTGGGCGAATGGCTTTATTTAGGTTTATAATTAAAGGTAAAAGCTTCTCGTTTTTCTTTTCTCTCTCTTTCATTTGTATATCCGAGTCCCAATTTCAGACTTCTTCAAGCAAGTAGTTTGAAACCATCCATGTCTATTGTAGCCAAAGCATTCTCACAGCTCTGGCCCACAAAACATGGTCCCCTACAATCAAATTGGCTGAGGTTAGGTTATCTATTTATAGTTTATGAAAGGAACTTTCCACTAATATCATATTCAAAAAAAGCACTGCACTTCAGAGTTGATTAAAAGCCTTGCTACTACTCATTTGATAGTAACGGCTGCTAAATGCTGATAAAATAAAACTGACATCAGTGTCAAATGTCCATGATTTTACTATCTTAAATAGTATAATAAATTTGTACTGCCTAACCTTCTGCTTCAAGACCATCAGTAAACGACATTGTTTAAGCCCAAAATGGAGAGTCTAGTCACACAAACCAGTATAATCTAAAAGCTAATTAAAGCAGATGATTGGCAGAGGAGAGGTCCCTCCAATGACATAAAGTGGTCATACTT